GACAATGACCAGTTTTCCAAACTGGGTTTTGTATCACAACTGTTAACTGTTCTCAGAGTTGATGGACGGACGACCTTTGTGTATAACACTGTTGTTTTAAACCTTGCAGTGGTATCAAAATGACCTCCTGTAACCCAGGTAGACTTCAAGATGGCTGTTATCTTTGGTTGTATGATAAAATTATGGCTCACATGACTGTGGCATCTAAAAATAATATGTTCCTTACAGCATCTCTCTGCCACTAAATTGTTGACTTGAATTTTGAAAAACAAGTTGATGTTGATATGTATATGTGTGTGTGTATATATGTATTTATAGACAAGTGTGTGTGAGTGACAAATATAGTCTTCCCCAAGGCATGTGTATTCCACACATACATGGCTGAGTTAGTCACTAAACAATTTGCAATAAAAAAAATTTTATTGGTTAAAGCAGGAAGTAATTAAGTTTTAAAATGAATCTGGTGTTATGGTGAGTAACTCTCATTACCATACTAACTTAGGCTAATATCTACGAGTATCATAATTGGTCTAAATTCAGATTGGGGTACAAATTACTTAAATTATGGGGAGTTGCTTTTTATTTCACATTGCAATAGGGGACATTTCTTATTAATTCAACTACATAAGATAAAATGAATAGTTTTCTACATTTTGTTTTCTTTTTCTGTCATTGGTGTTAATGGTCTCAAAATTCTGATCAATAACTTTGTGTATGATGCTGAATTACAAACTCTTTGAATGATCCAGTTGGAAACCCATCCTTTGACTTTCTTCAGCCAGTTTTAGAGGGGGTTGATTTCCCCTTAGTGTCCTGCATTTAACCAACCCACGGGAAGAATGGGTGATAGGGAGAGGTAAATGTCTGTCTAGTTAGTGGCTTTGGTCATGTCTCCACAGGAGAAACCATTCATTGTCTCTTTATTTTAGTTCATTCTACTCTAAAGAGTTTGTTCCCTTCAGTTGCTGACTTTTCAAAATGTTGGTGTTAGTAGTAGCTGTTACTCTGTTGGTCTCATGGCCAATATTAGGTTTTCATGATCGGTAGTAATTATTAGTAGAGCATGCACTGCATCTTCTATGTTTGTTTTTTTAAAGCATATAGTCATTTCATCTCTTCGTTCCTTAGCCCACTCTCACTCCTCTGCACTTGGAGATTAGTGACTCTCAGAATCTTTAGGCAAGTTGTCTCCATCTCCCTTGCCTTGGTCTTTCATCATAGGTGTGCATCTGTTTGTGTTTCTGTATAGTAGTATTGTATGTGTGTGTATCACACATATTTGGTAAAATAGCTGTTTGACTAGCAGGGTTGAAGTGGCTTTTTAGTTATTTTGTGGGCATTATTGGACACTTTTTAAAGCAATCTGAAGTTTAACCATGCCACACTTGGTTGACTAATTTATTTTGAACATTAAGTTTTTCTATATTAATTTAGACATTATCACAATTCTGTATCATTAGCAACTTAGGAAAGATTTCAAGCTTCTGAAAAATGGGATACCTGGGCAGATTTTCCTTTGAGTCAAATGTTTGAAGCTGAATGAAAATATATCCCAATTTTAATTTCTAATTATTGAACATCATTTTTAAACAATTCCAGTTGTTAGTATATAAAACACTTCAAGATCTTCAGGACTTTAGAGCACATTTGAAGTTATTTTAGTAAGAGTTTTGTTTTATCAATACATGTTAAATTTTGTTTTATAATTAAAAATAAACCAACACAAAACCACAAAGCTTAGATTTCAGCAAGAGGGAGGGAGAATAGCTGGTGGTCCCAGAGTGTGCTGCTGTTAATTGTTTAACAAAGGGGAAATGTATATAAACATATAAAAGTTATCATAAATTCCATAAACTTAAATCTGTGATTCATTGCCTTAAGACTTTCTCTCTTAGAATTTCCATACCGCATGCCAAACCAGTAAAATGGCTTTTAAAAATGTATAGTAAACCAATGTCAGTTTGTATAAAAGTACCAAGTGAAGATATTTATTACATGCATTGGAAAAAAATTGTTTACCTATTGAATGTTACCTGTTTATGTAGAGCTCTTTAGATGTAATAAAAGAAAAGCCTTCAGTTAATTTGTCTTCTGTAAAATACACTGCTGGGTGTGCAAGGGGACATCTCTAAGAGAAAGGCCATATGCTTTGTGCTTCCAAAGCACCTTTCATCCAGAGATTTCAAAGCATGACGAGTAATTCCTTTGCAACGTGCTTTGAGGTAAGTAATGAATGTACAGTCATCATTCCCCTTTCTTATTGAAATATGGTTGGCTTTGTAATGAACCGCAGCATCTGTTTAGTTTTAAACCTGTTTAATAATCTGCAATTTGAGAGCTAAGAGCACTGTCGCCTTTTTTTGTAGACAATACTAGGTGCTAGATAAACCAACTGAAATTCCAGGGATGAACATAAAGCCTGGACGTGGGGTGGTGTAAAAACCGTTTCTGGGATAGAGGTTTAGGTAGAGGCCTCACAGGACTTTAGGACCCCAGCCACTGAATGCCCTTAATTAGGGGTACTGGGTCAGTGGAGATGAGCCCAGGTTCTAAGGAGCATTCCACACCACTTAGTGTGTTTCAGGGAAGCTATACTTCAGAGATTCCTGTTAGGCAAATCAGATTAAAAGTTACTTTAAAGCCATACTTGGGCCCTGGCTGGGTGGCTCAGTTGATTGAAGTGTCATCCTGTACCAAAAGATTGTGGGTTCAAATTCTGGTCAGGGCACATACCAGGGTGCCTACGTTGAGGTTTGGATCCCTGGTCAAGGGTGTGTAGGGGAGGCAACTGATTGATGTTTCTCTTTAAATTAAAAAAAACATCCTGGGGCCATTTCATTTATCAGACAAAAAGGCTTTAAGGTGAAGTACCCTCATTTATTATAGCCCAGAACCTTCTTGCCCTGTCCCATCTAAATCAAAGTTGTCTAACGTCCGATCCTTGGTACCCCGGATCGGCTGTGCAGGGTTTGCTTCTTAACATCCGTGATGAGTTCAAAGGAGATGTGGGCTGAGACCCTTGATCCTTGGCTGAAAGTGAAATAAAGCAGTTCTCTATGGCATGCCAACACCTACCCTCAGGGACTTACCACGATGGTAATGAAGTTTCTGCACCTGGGCCTCATCGGGCTCTGGGAGCAGTGCTACTGAGTCTATTTTCATATTCTTAAAGAGGCTGCCAAATTATACAATCTGAAACCCCCCCCCCCCCCCCAAACCTGGTTCTGCTCCTGCAGTGTGAACCTACGCTCCCAGCTAGATAATCACTTCACCTACTTGGGTGTCTGGGCTATTGATTGCCTGCCCTCCACAGAACCCTTCCCTACAGCTTCTAGGAATTTCTACTCATTGGCAGTCACTGTTGTGAGATCATTGCACTAAAACTGACTGGGCCCCTGCCGTTTCCCTGGTGGCTGGCCCTTGTGTTTGTGTCTTGAATAGCCTCTTAAAAGACATATCTTCCCTCGGTTTGGTTTCCTTTCGCTTTAGCCACTAAGCACCATTAGACAAAGCCACAGCCCAGAGAGCCCAATTTTGATACATACAAGGACGAAAATCTCTGTACTTAGAACTCTGCCCCTCCACCCTCCACCATGCCAGTGTGTGACTCCAACCCTTTTTAGGGCAGGGCTGACACTACCAATGGATCCACAAAGTTGGTGAGCACACACACAGCACCAGCCGGCACCTCCTAGCTACAAAACAGCTACTTAGCCGGCAGGGCCAGTACCCCTACTACTGTTTCCCAGGGCTCTTGCTATGTCATGGCCGTGGCCTGCTCATCCCCTATTACTCTCCATTAGTCATGGGAAATGGCTTGAAGCCATGAGCAGTTTGACCCACTTGAGCAGATCCACCTCATTCTCGTGAACCTCTCTGATCACAGGCTGGGGGAGCTGGGCATCTGACAGGAGCATCAGAAAGGGCTTTCCACCATAGCTGGTTTGGCTCAGTGGACTGAAGGGTCCCGGGTTCGATTCCGGTAGAGGGCACATACCAAGGTTGTGGGCTGGATCCCCAGTAGGGGGCATGTAGGAGATAGCCAATCAATGATTCTCATCATTGATGTTTCTATCTCCCTCTCCCTTTCTGAAATCAATAAAAATATATTTTTAAAAAAGAAACATCTTCAGCACATATATTTAAAAGAAAAAAGAAAGGGCTTTCCCAGTTCTCCAAGGCCTGGGTCACATTGGTTTCCTCTGGTGTGGGCTGTGAAGTCAGATCCCTCTGCCCACTGTTTAGCTGAGGCTGCCTTGTTTCACCCTGTTCCCATCCTGTATGCTGTGTTTATGAATGAATGTGAGTGGTGTCACTGTGTTGAGATGGGAATGAGAATTTGTAAGTAGCCCTGTGGTGCTGCAAGAAATGTTGCCATAGTTTTTGTTTGTTTGTTTTAGATCTGCTTGTTGCTATTTCTCAGCTAGCACTGGCTTTGTCTTAGAAATGTGGAAGATGGTTCCAGCACCCAAATATAGAATGCAGCCTTTTGGGTGATTGCCCTTCTTTGCAGAAGCACTACCATGGAAACTCAGGATGGCACAGAGCTCTACAGTTTGCAAAGACATTTTCAAGTCATTAACTCAGACCATCCTCAGCAGGCTCCACGAGGTAAGAACTAGGAATCTGCTTGGCTGGCGTGACTCAGTGGTTGAGCAATCAGGAGGTCACGGTTCGATTCCTGCTCAGGGCACATGCCTGGGGTTGTGGGCTTGATCCCCAGTAGGGGACGTGCAGGAGGCAGCCGATCAATGATTCTCGCTCATCATTGATGTTTCTATCTCTCCCTCCCTCCCTCTCCTTTCCTCTCTGAAATCAATAAAAATATATTTTTTTAAAAAAGGAATCTAACGTTAGTGACGATCCTGAGGCTCTGAGCGGTGAAATGATTGGCCCAAAGTCAGACAGCTGGGAAATGGCAGAGTCAGGACTGGAACCCAGGCCCATCTCCAAACCAGAGGCTCTTTCCAAGCTGTAAAGGGCGAGACTAATGGCAGTTATTAAAATTAATAAAAATCTTTTATTAAGGACGTGCTAATGCCATGGCCAAAATCATTTATTTTCATTGATACGTTATCCTCTGCTACAGTCAGGGAGCGTCATGCCGCTCTGCTGTCTCCCTAGAGTGAAAGGAACGCTTTTCTTTGTAAAAATTCATCCGTCTGGTTTTCAGGCCCAGGGGGTGCTCTCTTGCATTCTCTCCATTCAGTAGTCCGGCACAGGAATGGCGATCTTCTGGATAAATTCATCATACTTCACTTTGCCGTTTGGTTCAATATTTGCTTCTCTGAAGAGATCATCCACTGCAATAAATCACATTAAATTTTCAGTTCAGCTTTACTGCCATGTTACAGGACAAAGTTCTTGGGGGTTGGGGCTCCCCGGAGGTTTTCCCTGAGTGTCCAGTTGACTATTCACATAGACCCAGAAATCAGACACTTGAAGACCACTGATACAACTCTGGGTTCATCGGATTTCACTGAAGCCAAGCCACCTTATGTTTTGAAAGAAAACGCCCTATATTTCTTGTACCTATATTTCCAGAAATCTTTGGCATAGGTTTTCCCTCCCACAGCTCACCCTCCCAGCTTCCCAGCTTCCCATTCCCCCTTGGCAGCTCCATCCTGGGCCACTGTGGCCCAGGCTTTGGCCTGTCCTGGCCAGCCTGCCTTCCCTTCCAAGATGGCATGCCCCACCCCAAGAGGTGACAAGTGGTGTCTGCCACCATCACCTCTTTTTTTAAAAGTGTGTGTTTTGGGGAAAGGGACAGCATGAGAGACGGTAAATTCAACTGTGTCTAAAGCTGAAGGGGCACAAACTGCCATTGCTCTCTCTGACGCTGCTCCAAAAATATCGCTTCATTTACTTGTTTCTCCTGGTTCTGGATTCTCTGCTCAACATACTAGCTTGTCCCAGATCTCGGCAAGAAGGACCATTTCAGTGCTCGCTTCGGCAGCACATATACTAAAATTGGAACAATACAGAGAAGATTAGCACGGCCCCTGCGCAAGGATGACATGCAAATTCGTGAAGCGTTCCATATTTTTTTTAAAAGGCCATTTCAGCTTATATGTCTCCACAGAGGCCTCTCTGAGTCAATCTACCGTTGGCTCTTTGTAAAAATCCTAACCCAACTGTCTCACTGCCCTGTGTCAGCTTCCTCAGCCCTAGACATCCCGCCGTGTCATTCTGGACAGTCAGGAAACACCCTGTGATTCTCTGCTTAGCAGCCCCCTCTAAGGTGTAATTACTGTGCTCCGCGCTGGAGCCGCCCGTGCTGCCGAGTGTTTTTAGAATGTGCCCTGCGCAAGGATGACATGCTGGTTCAAACCATCCCAGCGGACAGGTGCAAACCACCTCAGAGCCAACCACTGAGCATCCTCCTGTCCAGAGAAGGGGCCACAGCTGATAGCCAGGTGCTGGGCTGCCTGCTGGGTGGCATGCCATTCACTGTGAACCCAGAAAGGACCAGGATGCTGGTGCCAGCCTGTCCCAGGCCTTAAAAAGGAGACCTCCCTGACAGCCTCAGCTGCTCCAGGATGCTTCTTGGTATAATTCATTTTCTTTCTATCACCCAGAGTTAAAGATTCCTACTTCTGGTATCATTTTTCCTGTCTCCCTCAGCCAAAGGAAGGGAAACTGGTCTCTCAGCTTGTGGGGAGCACACTGCCATTTTCTTTGAAATGTTTCTTGACTGGTTAATCGAATGAAAAACGTGTATGCGTTTGGGGCCCGGCGTATTGCTTTAGACAGAGATCGTGAACCCTAAGAGTGACGGCTCGGCTGGCCCTCTCTGCTAGCCTCCACCTGGTACAGAAAAGGCCGAGCGGAGTCCGAGCCCGAGAGGGAGGGCGAGCCCATGTTTCCCTGATTCGCGTTCGGACAGCCACAATGAAATATGGGTTGGGACAGCGCCAGCCTGAAGGAGTCTGCCTTCTGTAGCGCTATGTTTAAATGCATGTGCTGAGCCTTTGTGCCTGTAGACAAAAATCTAAGCAGCCCGCTTTATAGAATGTTAGCTCTTGGGAGGACCTGAGGGATTGGCTATTGTAACCTCAGTTCCCAACAAGGAGACTGAGGAGGGTGAGCGAGGTTAAGAAACCTGTTGGGAGCCAGCCCGGCCAGTGTGGTTCAGAGGTTCCAGCGGACAGGTGGAACCAGAGGTCATGGTTCAAGTCCTGATCAGGGCACATGCCTGGATTGCAGGCTCGATCCCCAGTGGGGGGCATGCCAGAGGCAGCGATCAATTATTCTCTCTCATCATCGATGTTTCTCTCTCTCTCTCTCTCTCTCTGTCTCTCTCTCTCTCTCTCTCTCTCCCCCTCTCCCTCTCCCTTCCTCTCCAAAATCAATAAAAACATTTATTTTAAAAGAAAGAAACCTGTTGAGGTCCTCCAGGATGAGGAGGAGCCAGGATTCCAATCTAATTCCAACCACAACCTTGCAACCCTTCCTGGTTTGTTGTGATTTAACCAAAGGCCCACATTATTGAGGCCACTGTGTCCCACTGTGTCCCAGCAGCACGAGCAGAAATCCCAGCCTCTGGTGTGGACTCTGGGTGGTGACTCTAAATGGCAGCTGTGGCCAGACCCAGGGGCTAGCGGGCAGGCAGGAAGAGCACTGGCAAATGGCCCAGCATTGGGGTCGCCCTTAACCACATGCGAAGGGCTTTCCCAGAAGACCTGGGCCCCTTGTCCTGCTCTGAGGCAGGAAGGCACGCTGGGCTGCTGGAGGGTCCAAGCCAAAGGCCTCTCATGGGGTCCTGTGACCAGCAGTCCCAGCAAAGGCCACCACGGGCACCCCTCAGGAAGAGCTGTTAGAGCTGGTGGCGTCCTGAGGAGAGGGAACAAAGCAGCATCTCAGGCCCGGCCAGTGTGGCTCAGTGGTTGAGCATCGACCTATGAACCAGGAGGTCACAGTTCAATTCCCAGTCAGGGCACATACCCGGGTTGTGGGCTTGATCCCCAGTGTGGGGTGTGCAAGAGGCAGCCAATCAATGATTCTCTCTCATTCTTTCTTTCTTTCTTTCTTTCTTTTTCTTTCTCTCTCTCTCTTTCTTTTTTTAAATATATTTTTATTGATTTCAGAGAGGAAGGGAGAAAGAGAGAGAGAGGAATCGAATCTAGGATCTTTCAGTCCACAGACACTCTAATCCACTGAGCCAAACCATGTGGGGCCATCATTGGTGTTTCTATCTTTCTCTCCCTCTCCCTTCCTCTCTCTGAAATCAATAAAAAAAATGTTTTAAAGTAGCATCTCAGTTTGGACACCTGGCAAGAGCAGCAACTTCAGAAAACAGCTGTGCAAAAGAAAAGCCTGAGATGGGCAGAGGGTGGGGAGTGGGGGAGGGTGGGGAAGGAGGGGAGGGAGAGGGAGTGTCTGTGACTTACGGGCAACTCCCAGCTCTGCTACCGCAAGCCACTCAATCACCTGTGTTTTGTCACTAGTGTTCCCAGGGGTGTCATAGCTCTAAATAAAGACCCACAGTGGAAGCTTCATTCAGGGTGAGGCCCAAGTAGCTCTCATCTCGGTTTCCCCAGGCCGTCTCTTCGCCCTGTTAGACTTCTCCTGTTACCCCAGGTCCCCTAGCTCTTCCTTGGGCTCCAGGCCAGTGCTCACCCTTCTTGCCATCTCCTCGGAGCCGCCTGGGGCAGGCATGACATGCAGTGTCCGCACCATCCTGGTGCCACGGGTCGGGCTTTGGTGTCCTCCCCCCAACTCCCCAGTCCTCTCCTGCTGCAGGCAAAGAGGGAACCAGGCCATTACCTTCCTTGTGGGTGAGCTTCTCCCCCAGTCTCATGAGTTTTGACCGCAGCTCCGACGCCATGATGTAACCTTTCTTCTCCTTGTCCGCCATCAACATGGCCAAGAGAATTTCCTTCTTTGGGTCCTCTTGTTTTATTTGCATGTGCATGATGGTCAGGAAAGTGGAGAAATCCAGCTCTCCGTTTCTGTCTAGGAAACCCCCAAGCACAGCAAAGTGAGCGGGGAGGAAGAGGCTCGCCACCTGCCTCCCGCCCGAGCCCTCCTGGCCGGCTCCAGGGCCACAGGACCCAGGAAGCGCCCTGGAGTGGCAGTGGTGGCGGTGGTGGCAGTGAGGAGGATACAAGCCCTCTCCTGAGGTCCCACCTCGGATACGCCTCCGTGACTCCTCCCAACATTCCTCGGGGCCTGTGGGTATCATCTGCCCATTGTGCCCACCAAGGAGACAGGCGTTCTGAGGGGGCAGTGCCTCCCAGAGCAGTGGCAGGACCAGGACGGAGCCCACCTCCTCTGCTCCCTTCCGGGTGCTGCTCTGGTGCCCTGAACTGGAGGGCATTCATCTACGTCCACCCCCTTCAGCAGCCGCCACTGCACACCCACAGAGATGGGCGGGTGACCCCACTGGGGCCTCAAGCCCAGTCCCACCAGAGCTGGCTGCTTGCCTTTCCCCTCACTGCAACCACCCCAGCTCCCCAGCCCGGGCCCCTCCTCTGAGCATGTGTGGGGGCCTGGGCCCTGGCCTGGCCGGGGTGAAACTGCAGGAAATTGGAACTTCCCCTGACCACAGCTTCCTGTTTGGAGACAGTAACCAAAGGAAAACGCCACCCCTGCGGTGGAAACGGACCGCAGTCACTGAGCGCCCATCATTGGGCTCTCGGCCTCCAGAGGCCGTCCTGGCCCAGCCTGGCCACCCAGCGCTGCTGCAGTCACGCTCTGATGGGACCTTGGGGTAACCCCAGCAGGTGGTGGGGACCCACCTGAGAGATGAGGAAACAGGTTCAGGTGGCTCCGGATCAAGTGATCTTTCCAGGCCACGCCCTTTCTCTGGGCCAGTCTTTCCTTCCTGAGTGTCCAGCTACCAAGGCAAACAGCCACCCCAGCCTCTGACACCCTCTTGTTTCTTAAAAAATAACAAACCCAACTTGTTTGCGTCTGGTTATAAAAGTCCTATATGGCCTCCTTGTAAAAAAAATACAGGACATAACAATAAAGGGAATGAAAGCCATCCATAATCCCAGCGCCTGGAGAGCCCCTTGGCAATGTTCTGGCCGGGTTTCCGTCCACCTTCTTCCTCCCACTGCTGCATAGAAGGTGGGTCTGCAGTCAGAAGAATTGGCTCCAACTCTGATTCTGCCACTGGCCCGAGCACGTGGGCAAGGCCCCAGGGCTCCGAACCCTGGTATTTGCCTGTGAAACAGCACCTTCTCCATGGGTGGGTTGTGCTGAGCACATGACATGGGCACAGAAATAAAACTGTTCTGGCGAAGCGACTTGGGGGTCACTGTTACACTTCCTGCGGAGTTTGGAACCTCGGCAGAAAGCTTACGTCCCAGGCCGCTTTGTGAGCTGAGGGTCAAATGCCTCCTGGCCAAATGCCTCCACAGCTCCCGGCTGGAGACCTCTGCTACCGCCGGCATGTCTGACCTCTGACCTGTTCTCACATCCACTATCTGTACCCGGTGGGCTCTTCCCAAGGACCACAGCTGCAGGGCTCCAGGCCCACCCACCAGCCCAGCCCACTTCTTCCCCAGCCCCGGCCCAGCCCACTCACCTATCTTATGAGTCTGCAGGTGCCGCTGCACCTCCCCTGGTGTCGGGCTGGCCCCCAGGCACCTCATCACCACCATGAGGTCCGTGGCTTTTATCTTCCCCCGCTGCTGCTTGTCATACAGGGAGAAGCATTCCTTGTACTCTGCACAGCCAGAAGGGGGAGTCAGGAGCACTCCTTCACCGCCCCTCCCCCCCACACACCCTCTTTTCCCTCCTCCCCTTGCTCCTCCCCCTC